TGTGTGTGTGTGTGTGTGTGTGTGTGTGTGTGTGTGTGTGTGTGTGTAGTGTGGAGATTAAAGGACCACTTGGAAAAGAAAAGAATCAAGTTTCTGCTATCATATGGGGCAAGAGCCTTCATTTGAGTCATCTCACTAACCCCATTAATTCCTTTGATGGGAGAATGTTCAAAATATTTTTCTAGCATCTTAACAGACACTGGAGTTGTCTGAAGTTTATGTCACATGCTGAAATTTTTATATTCCTAAGTCTCAGATAGATCCTCAGCACACACTCCTGGGTAAGATGATTCTGGGCATAAATATCCATTTTGCTGATGACCTGACTGTGTAACTCATTATTTACATTCTAAAAATGTGTTTCATCAGTTACATCATGAAGTATTCAAGCCACTGGAGCTATGCAAATATGATGAGACTTCTGCAAATTAATCACAGAGTTCAATATAGAACCCGCTATATGGTCCATAATATGTGTTGTCTTTCAGTTTGTCACACTAGCAGAAGGAATAGTGTATATGAATGTTTAATTCTTGACACAAGAAATTCTCAATTAATTATGGAAGGATTCTTTGTATGTGTAAGTGTGTGTGTGAATTTTCTGTTGATATTATATAAAAGCTTAAAATGAACTTGAATTTAGGATCCTCTTGTCCCAGTCTCCTGTGTGTGCTATCATGTGACATGGTGTTCAGCTCACAGGACTTCAGCTTTGTGAGTGGTGACCAATCCTTGTTCTGAGCATTTTCATGTATTTATCCTTTACATAATCAGAAAGGATGCCAGCTTTTTATTGAATAATTATATAAGTCTAATATATAGTATTATATAAGTCTTATATAAGTAAGTCTTATATAATTATATAAGTCAAATATATATAATATTATATATTATATTATTTATATATTATTATATTATATTATATTATTATATTATTATATTATATTATTATTATATTATATTATTTGTAACACCCAGCATTAAGTGTACTATATGAATGTCCTAATTTTAAAGTCATTTATACTACAATTGTAATGATCTTTCAAAATCACATACTAATATTTTATAATTCAACATAATAAATGAAATCTCATAGACTTCCTAGTACTTTCTGAACTACCTGATAGGTCTGCTATCATGATTTAATGTTTATTGATGACCAGGTTCTCCTCTGTGAAGATGGAGGTGGACAATCGCACCATCCTGACTGAATTCATCCTGTTAGGCTTCTCAGCAAACCGGCGCTGGCAGCTGATTCTATTTGGAATATTTCTGACCATCTACTTGTTGACACTGTCAGGGAACATGACGCTGGTTGTCTTAATTCGGATTGATTCTAGACTGCATACACCTATGTACTTTTTCATCAGCAGTCTGTCATTTTTGGATTTCTGGTATACTTCTGTATATACCCCCAAAATATTGGCCACTTGTGTCTCAGAAGACAAGCGTATTTCCTTGGCTGGCTGTGGGGCTCAGCTGTTCTTCTCCTGTGTTGTAGCCTACACAGAATGCTACCTGCTGGCCGCCATGGCTTATGACCGACACGCTGCAATTTGTAGCCCGTTGCTTTATTCAAGCGTCATGTCTACTTCTCTCTGTACTGGGCTGGTGGCTGGCTGTTACATAGGAGGGTTTTTAAATGCCATAGCTCATACTGCCAACACATTCCGACTAACTTTCTGTGGTAAAAATGTTATTGATCACTTTTTCTGTGATGCACCACCATTGGTTAAAATGTCCTGTACAGACACCCGTGTCTACGAAAAAGTTCTTCTTGGTGTAGTGGGCTTCACTGTGCTCTCCAGCATTCTTGCCATCCTGATTTCCTATTTCAACATCCTCCTGGCTATCTTGAGGATCCAATCAGCCTCAGGAAGACGGAAGGCTTTCTCCACCTGTGCCTCTCACCTGATCTCTGTCATGCTCTTTTATGGCTCCTTGCTCTTCATGTACTCAAGGCCTAGCTCAACCTACTCTCTAGAAAAGGATAAAGTGGCCGCCCTCTTCTACACTGTTGTCAACCCATTACTCAACCCTCTCATCTATAGCCTGAGAAACAAAGATGTCAAAGAAGCCTTCAGGAAAGCAACACAGGCCATATGGCCGCACACAGGAAGGTGATTCCTTCTGGCTAAGTGCTGGTAATTTAGCCTCCCAATAACTCAGTTTTGCATATGCTCACACATTTATGCATTTCATTTAAATTCAACAAGTGATCATCTGAACTAATGACTTTCACTTACTGTTATTTTCATATTGTGTTGGTAATATGATTCATTTAATACCTATAGTTTATGTGCTTGAGCTCTTCCATGTTATGTGTCTTAATTTTTCATGAAATTCACCTTGTTGATTAATTCTCAAGGGATTTGAGTGAAAAGTTTTGAAGGACATAATTTGATTTTAAGCTTGTAAAACCATTGTTGCTCCCTAGGAAGATTTGGACTGCTGAGATTCTTGGGCCTGCGGGCAAGACTGTGGGATTTTACTTCAGTACAGTTCTCCCTCCAATGAATTTCTTAATAAAAAAATTAATGTGGTCTGAAGAATTACTCTTTGTAAATCACATCTCTTATATCAATTTACTATTAGACAAAGAATTTAAAAATTAAGATTAGGTCCTCTCCATGCATGGTCCTTGGTTGGAGTATCAGTCTCTGCAGGACCCCCTGGGCCCATGTTTTTTTGGCTCTGTTGTTCTCCTTGTGGAGTTCCTATCCCCTCCAGGTCTTTCTATCTCCTTCTTCTCCCCAAAGTTTGGCTATGAGTCTCAGCATCTCCTTTGATAGCCTGAAGATAGAAAGGGAGGAGGCCCTCCCCTGTAGGGAACTAGGGAAGGAGCATAGGGAGAGACAACTGGGAGGAGACAAGGGAGGGGGCTACAGTGAGAATACAATGTGAATAAATTGAAATAAATAAATAAATAAATAAATAAATAAATAAATAAATAAATAGATAAATAGATAAATGTAATTTTCAGAATGTAAAAAAAGAATTAAGATTAGGAGATGCAGCTAAAAATAGTAATGAAACTCTGTAAATTTATGAGAAAAAAAAAAACAATGAAAACCATAAGTCCTTTGGGTTGTTTATCACCCTAACTAGTGTACAATCTAGAGAGAGTAAGTACTTTGCAGGACCTTCTCACAAGTTGCATATTAAAATGGCTCAACTGGAGGGAAAAACAACTTTAAGATAAAAGAAATAATCAAGATCCTTCTGCCTGTATCTGTCCAGATCCAGCAGCTGCCCGTTAATCTCTTAGGCCTGGCCACAGATGGGGACATTTTCAGTCCTAACAAACTGTTTCTGCTGCCTCAGGAAACCCTGGAGGGTCAAATAGTTGATACCTGACTTTGAGCCAACTTCCTCACACCTTCACATGAGCGTAGTGCCTTAACCCTCCAGTGGATAGCATCATGAATGAAACCTCTGCCTCTCATCCTTTAAGGCCCTGCTGTAATCCCCTTCATTTCTAAGTTTCACTCATAAGTGCACTGGCTCAATCCAATTTTACGTAGGGATTTGTTTTCTTAGAATCCCAGGAAATGGTGTTTGGGGACAGTGTGGGCAATACCTGGAGGCAAATCCTCTGATACCTCTTCAGGGAATTCTACCTATATATTCAACCCAATAAAATAATGCTTTAGACTCAACACTAGTATTATTCTTACAAGCAATTTGGGAAAACTGTACTTCAATATTTAGTACATGGTAGATTTAGTTATTAATTAAATTTCTAGATCAGAGAATAAAAGGTGGTTTGAGATCAGATATTAGATTTTATTATTACAACTGATAAAATGAGCATATTTACAAACTATGTAAAATTTAAATATGACCAATAGTAACAGACATTACAATTAAGTTATGTTTTTTAATATTCTAACCTCTATTTTTATTTTTGCCACTGAGAAATAATTAAGCAAGCATCTTTAACTTTAACACTGCATTCATTCAGTGTTAACATGAAACAGCCCCCTCAATCTTATTTATTTATTACAATTTATTCACTTTGTATTCCCGCTGCAGCCTCCCTCCTTCATCTCCTCCCAGTTCCACCACCTCCCCTCTTATTCCCCTATGCCCATTCCCTAGTCTCTTGATAGGGGAGGTCTTCCTCCCCTTCTATCTGACCCTAGCCTATCAGATCTCATCAAGGATGGCTGCATCATCTTCCTCCGTGGCCTGGCAAGGCTGCACCCCACTGAGGGCTAAGTTTTTTTTATCTTTCCTTTTATGTAAAGTTGTTCTATCATACATAATTATCATATTCTTTTCCTTAAAGCATTTTTGACAATACATATTTTTGTTTAATGAGGAATGCCTTCATTACCTATCCATTAGCAATTACAGGTTGTTATACATATATTGATAACCCATAATGTATTTCTGTCATATATCCACAATACCTGCTATGCAAGAACAAGAATTGAGTCAGTATTATGAGACAAAATAAATTAAACATCAGTTTATTAAGAAAATATTATAGGCTTTTCCACTTCTCATGTTTCAAACTATATCAATGTATAATTGATTTATATATATATAGTCAATTATAGACTATAGTAATTCAATTGAACTGAAATTAGTAACTGTAATTACTAAACAACTAATACAAAGTGAATGAAAGAAAAGTACTTTATGCACATATTTGATGAAAAACCATAAAATCTATAACGTATTACATTAAAAAAACAAAACTTTTGCATTACTAAAAAAACATGTACACTAATGAAAAATTTTCTGTTGACAGTTTTATTCATAAATTCTCAGTTCCTTTACGTTGACATCAAGTGGCTTTCTAAGTGTGTATCAATTTAGACTTCAGAATGGGATAACTTGAGTTTTCTCAGAGCTTCCTTCACATCTTTATTCTGCAGACTGTAGATCATGGGGTTCAACATGGGGAATAACACAGTATAAAAGGTAGACACATTTTGTCCCTCTCCAGGGAGTAGCTGGAACTTGGGTGAGAGTAGATGTAGAGGATGGAGCCATAGTACAAGGTCACAGAGATGAGGTGGAGAAGGCCTTGAGGCGACCCTGGGTGGATCGGATCCTCAGGATGGCAGCAATGATGAAGAGATAGGAGGCCAGGATGAGCAGGGTGGGAGTAATGACATTGGAGGCTAAGAGGAAGTACAGCACAGACTGGTAACTCTCCCTGACCTCACATGCCAACTTCACCAGAGGTGGAACGTCACAGAAAAAGTCATCGATGACATTGTCACCACAAAAATCCAACGTGAATGTGTTGCTGGTTAATATTATTGCATTGACAAAGCCTCCTGTATAGGAATATAGAACTAAGCAGATGCACAACCTCCTTGACATAGCTTGAGCATAAAGCAGGGGGTTAGAGATGGCTACATAGCGATCATAAGCCATGGCAGCCAGTAGGTAGCACTCACTATAGGCCAATCCAGCAGAGAAGAAGAACTGAGATAGACATCCAGCAAAGGAGATGCTGTTTTGGCTTGGATGAGGCCTGAGGACTGTGGAGGGTCAAGGTGGCCTGGAGTCTCGAGAGCTCGCCAGACTGAACAGATTCATGTTTTATTCTGATCATAAGACATAAACATTTTGAGTAAGAACATTTATGATCTAACTTCTGATATAAAACCACTTTGGAAATGAAGAGGAAAGCACACGTCAGAGACCAAACACCAGGCCGTGGTGTCAGTTAAATGGAGAGGTGATGGTTCCTTTCTTTCCAGTTTCCCTGAAGAGGTCACGAGTATTCTCACTCTCTGAACATGAAAATGAGCTTCCTCGTTGGTGTAACTCACATAACCACACACAAAACAGCATCTTTATTTCTCTTCCAAGAATCTCTCAGTTGACTTCCCACATTCAACTGCATTAGTGAGACTAACATATTCTAATCCACTTGTTTACAGGGGCTTGATTTCTCTCAGTGAAAAAAAGCCTGCGCACTCTGAGAAACTACAGAAAAGTATACAAACCTTAAATGCACTGGTTGATGAGTTACTACAAAGCTAAAGAAAATTAGAACATATTGTTTGTATTTGTCTGTGTTCAAATAGCCATCCTCCCACATCTGACTGTCCTCTAAGCCCTCCTGTCTCTAGAAATTGTTGCTATACATTTAAATTAACTCTTTTTTCCATATAGTCTTTATTTTAGAATTATATCTATAGAAAACAAGGAAAAGTGTGTGTCTTACATGTTGGAGTTAAGAGTTTTACTTTAGAAACTTGGATTTGATTTGGGCTCCAATATTGTTTTCACAAATATTTTCTACATTCTATACATCAGTGTGATTCTAGTTAACAATAGTATTTTATAAGAATCCCTGTCCCTGGGCCAACCAGCCTCTGGTTTCTGGTCCTCTAGATAGCATCAGGGGTGGGCTCCCTCTCCTGGCATGAGTCTCAATATGGACCAGTCAGTTTTTGGCCACTCACACAGTTTCTATGCCACCTTTACATCAGCACAGCATGCTGACAGGACAAATGGCAGGTTGAAGGTTTTGTGATGGGGTTGGTGCAGTCCCTCCATTGAATGTCTGACCTGGTTATAGGAGATGTCTGGTTCAGGCCCTGTGTGTGCCATTACTGGCTAAGGCTAGGGCCACCCTAATAAATTCCTGGGAGTTTCCATTGCACTAGTTTTCTACCTTCCCCAGAATTGCCTCCCAATTCCAGCTGACGATTCTGGAGGAATTTTTAATTCAGCAACATGGCTGCTCAATATTTATAGCCTCTCCCATGCTCTCTTCCTCCATCCTTTCCCTCACCTGATCTCTCCTGTTTCAGTCCCCACTTGCCCCCAATCCATCCACACCAAACACAACTGGCAAAAAGATAAAAGTCAAGGAAATGATGCCTAATGGTACTCTGCTAGACTCATAGATTAGTAACTAACCCAACTGTCCTCAGTGAGGCTTCAACCAGCAACTGATAGAAACAGATGCAGAGACCCACAGCCAAACTACTAGATGAATTTCAGAGACTCCTGCTAAAGAGGGGGAGGAAGGGTTGTCGGAGACAGAAGGAAACCCACAGAATCAACAAACCTGGACTCAGGAGCTCACTGAGACTGACTGACAATCAGGGAGCCTGCATTGGGTCTAACCTAGGCCCTCTGTAAGTATTATTGTTGTGTATCTTGGCGATTTTGTGGAACTCCTAACAGAGGGAACAGGTTTTTTTTTTCTAATGATTTTGCCTACTTTGGGGACCCTTGTCTACCTGCTAGGTGACCTTGTCCAGTCTTAATATGAGGGGAGAAGGCAACTTGACATGCCACATTTGGCTATTATCCCTTGGAGGCCTGCCCTTTTCTGAAGGGAAATGTAGGAGTGAATGTGAGAGAACTGGGGAGATGGAGGAGGTGGAAGGCAGAGGAAAGAAAGGAACCTATACTTGGGATGTAATATATGGGAGAATAAATTAATTTTAAAAAGTAAAAATTAGAAACCCAGTCTTGAAAAAACAAAAAATAAATAAACAAATAACAGTGTTTTATATACATGAATTGTCTAAAGAGAATAGATCTCACGTGTTGTCAGCACAAAGGATTAATATGTTAATTAGCTAAGAGTACTGGCTGCTCTTCCAGAGTACCAGGGTTCAAATCCTAGCACAAAAATGGCAGGTCACAACTTCCTGTAACTCTAGTTACAGAAGATCTTATGCTTTTTTTGGACTCTTCAGACATTGTACACACATATTACATTTACATACATGAGGCAAAATATACATACACATAACAATAAGCTTTAAAAACAAAGAAGACTACATGCGTTTTCAGTTCCAAGGAGTGTGTGCTGCCAGAATATTGAAGCGTATACATCTATCATCCAGGGTTGAACTTCCATAATTTCAGTTTCCTTTGGATCAGTTATTACATGCAGCATTTTGTCAAAAGTATGGCTCTTACCTTGAAGTTGCATGTTTAAAATATATCAATGTATGGTTAAATTGACTAAAAATGCTAAGTCAGTAAGCTAGTGTCCGTCAGGCTCTAGCACAAGTTTGTGAAATCATCTGTGATCAGGCAAAACAAGGATTCTGGTTCTCACTCCAGTAGTCTTTAACTTAGGTTTTGCTCTCATAACTTAGGTATGTCACAGAGAGATTCTATCTTAAGCACATATTAGAAAGTGTTTTTTTTCCAAAGTTCTCCTGAATGCATCTTTCACTTCTTTGTTCCTCAAGCTGTAGATGAGGGGGTTCAGCATGGGGATCACCACAGTATAAAATAAGGCAATCACTTTATTAATATCCAGGGAGGAACTGGTATTAGGTCGAACATAGATGAAGAAAAGTGTCCCATACAGGATAGAGACAGTTGCTAAGTGAGAGGAACAAGTTGAGAAAGCTTTTCGTCTCCCATTGCCTGTCTGAATTTTCAAAATTGTCATCAAGATGCAAACATAGGAGACCAGGATGATCACACCACTGAGCACACCTACTGCTCCAGCCAAGACAAAAAGCACCAACTTATTGATCTGGGTGTCAGTACATGCTAGAGACAACAATGGGGAAATATCACAGAAAAAGTGGTTGATAATGTGTGGACCACAGAATGGTAAGCTAAAGGTTAAAGTTGTGTGGGTCATTGTACTTATAATAGCAATGGCATAAGGTCCAATAACCAACAACATACAGACATGCTGGGACATAATGAGTGTATACAGCAAGGGTTTACAGATGGCTGCATACCGATCATAGGCCATGGCAGCCAGGAGAAAACACTCGGTTGCCACAAAGAGACCAAAGAACCACATCTGTGCTGCACAGCCCATGAAAGAGATGGCTTTGCTCTCTGCAAAAATGTCATACAGCATCTTGGGAGCTATAGAAGAAGAGGAGCATGCATCTATAAAGGACAGGTGGCTGAGAAAAAAGTACATAGGTGTGTGCAGCCTGGGGTCCACCCATATGAGAGTGATCATGCCCACGTTACCCCCAAAGGTGACAAGATAAACAAAGAAAATCATGGTGAACAGGACAATCTTCTGAGGAAGGTTGTCTGTGATTCCAAGGAAGAGAAACTCAAGCACTGCAGTCTTATTCTTCTCTTCCATTGGTCAGTTGGGACCTGTCAAAACAATAAGAATTATGACCCACCGAGCTCAAACAAGTGATACTTGTCCTCAATAGGTCTATTAAAGGCAGTTGGTCAGCAATGTTGAACTGGAAGATAATAGTCATACTTACTAGACAGTTGTGTGAAAATCCTAAGTCATCTTCAAGTTACCCCTGGAGCTCTTTGGAATCTGAACACTCTCCCATCAAGAGTTATCTAAGTGCATTCATCTAGTAGCTCCTGTGATTGTTCTTTAAATTGTTCTTTTAATAAACTTACTCTGTTTTCATTTCACTCTGTGATATAATAATGCAACCCTTTTAACTGGTTTGGGAAATATGTCAGTTTTTAAAGTGCTTACCCTGAAACCACTGAAACCTGCTCCCTAGAATTCATGTTTAGAAAGTTGGAATGCTCTTATGACCTCAGGTCAGGAAAGACATAGACAGATAGAGCCTTTGGGCTGACTTCCTAGCTGTCCTATCCCACTCAGCAAGTCCCAAGCCAGTTGGAAACCCAGTCTGTAAAGTCAAGGTCGACAGTACTGAGAAATGGTGTGTGTGCATGTGTGCATGCACGTGCACACACACACACACACACACACACACACACACACACACACATGCACAGAAAGAATTTTATAAATCCTACTTGAGTATACTTTTATTGGGAACACTGTTAATACAACTGGAAGTTTAATATCCTATATCGTATATTAGGGAAATGTTAAATATGGCATCCAGTTATTCCTGAATAATGACCAATATGAAAGTACAATTCATATGTGTGTGTTTCAGTCTATTTCCCATTTCAACGTAGAAAGAGATATGGGAAAGTCAACCACACACGGCAAAAAGGATGGCCATTTTGAAGAAAAGCAAAACACATTATTTTCACTTAATGTTCATCTTCCAATGAGAAGAGACAATAATTCAGTGTATGGCTGGTGTGAAGTAAGCAATGTCATCCAGGAAAAGTGTGAGAGGAAAAATTGAGAAGAAAGGGAAGGGGCCAGAATTTCTCACAACTGCATCTTCCAGTAAGTGATTATGCTATCAGGGAAAAGCAGGAGAGATGCAAACTTAGAAATCATGGTGTCTGACAAACGTTGAGGGCAATTTATCATGGAATTTGCATGATAAATTAAGAATCTACATAGTTAAAATAACATTAAATTATTTTACGTGATGTCTCATACGTACATAAACTTTTAAAAAAGCAATTATTATAACATATGACTGCTACTATCAAATGAAATGAAATAACAAAATCAATGGCATAATAAATTTATGATAGTTATGTCCCATAACTATTACCATGTGAAGCACCATGCACATTTCAGATAAATTAAGTGACTTAATCTGCATGTTTGCTACTATTTTAATGACACCATTTTGGTGATGCTGTACTGGTGTATTTTAGGCAGTTAAACTGACACCTTAAGATTTTTGTTGAGCATTGTCAATTGTAGAAATGTCCTATGTCCTCTGTGTACACTCTCATGCAATTCACTGTGATAGGTATGTTAGGACAAAGTGTAATATAGATTGTGACAAGTTTATAAACAGGTTATTATTTATTTATTTATTATTTGAGTGTAAGTTACTTTGAGTCATTCACAAAGTGAAGAAAAGAATTAGCATAGCCTTTTCATATCTAATGTTTTCTTATTTTAGAAATTTTTGCAGACAGCCTATTCCTCTCTCTCTTCTTGAAATATTCATCCCCAATCGGCAAATAAATTTGTATATATTTCTGATGTTAGGAAATTATGCCTTAAAAAGGCTTACCTTTCACAAAGATGACAATAAGCTCACTAACACGCGTTATCTCACAGGCATATTGCTGGTTATGGTGTGGAGATTTAAAATTCCTCTGTAGTTTTCAAAAAGTAGTATATTACTGCTACAAGCATCTCCATATCATGTTTATGCTTTACCTCCAGACAAATTGGTTTAGAAGCCACATCGAGCAACTGTAATTCTGTGAGTAAACTATCAAAATATTATGAGGGAGAGAGCATTTCACACCATTAATGCTTCTCTACCATGTTTCAAAACTTTGTGCTGTCCAAAACTACTGTGCTCACTTCTTTAAGGATATCCTTTCTGCATCTGTCAGTGACTTTAAAGAAAATAGTCATTTTCTAGAACATAGAAGATCTGACTTCCTTCTCGATGGTAAACTTTCTGAGACAAGTGACTACATAAGTACTTTGTAATGAAAAACCTCCCATGCTGATGTACCTAGACATAAAGAAAGAACCCTTGGGCTTAACATTGGTTCACATATTTCACAAAATAAAGGACCTTATCGTAGGAGCATGCAATTGTTCAGAGCCATGTCCCCAAAGGACTTAAGCCTCAAGGGTTTAAACCTGAAGGGAAAAACTTTAAATGGTCTCAAAAGTATTTCGGCCAAGTGTTATTTTTTAACTGTATCTCATTCCAAAGTGTGTGTGTGTGTGTGTGTGTGTGTGTGTGTGTGTGTGTGTGCTCCTGATCTATCTTCCTTATCATCCTTTCTTCCATTAGCAGAGCAATGTACGAGCAGCATCTGGGGAAAAGTCGTTTCTGTCTACATTCTGAAACCATATCATTTAAGCATAAATCCCAATCCTAGTTTACTCCTTGTCATAATTAAGTCAAGACTGTCTCTTCTTATTCTCTTGTTCTCAAAACAAACAAACAAACAAAAACTCTAGTTGACCCAGATTGCAGACATGTTTTCTGAAAATTTCTTAAGTGGAAGGTGTTTTTTTAAATGTTTTTTTTTTATTATTATTACAAAGGATCTGGACCATAGTATAACATCATAATCAGACATAAATATGAAGGAAGCAAAGCAGGATTTGATTATCTCTACATAAAAATTAAAAACAGATATTGAACTGCACAAAAATCTAAAGCAGCTGAATTTTTTTTCAAAAATGAAATTGTCAAGAAAAGTAAGAAGGTTTTGATAAACTGAAGAGAAAATAAAGTGCAGGGGTAGATTAGCAGCCAAAGGAAAGCAAGAACAAAATGGCCCCATTAAAGAGAAGAAAGGATAAGGGTGGCTGACACAGATTACCTAACTCAGTCATCACTCTCTCTGAAAGTCTTATTGTTTGTCCCATCAGGAAAATCTAATACAAAGTCCCACAATATTTCATCAGCAGCTTATTTTTCAATTAAATTTTTATGTTTGTATTAATTACAGTTTATTCACTTTGTATCCCAGCTGTAGTCCTCTTCCTCTTCCCCTCCCAACCCCACCCTCTCTTCCTCATCTCTTTCTCTGCCCCATTCCAAGTCCGTGGTTAGCGGAGGTCCTCCTCCCCTTCCATCTGACCCTAGCTTATCCTGTCTCATCCGAATTAGCAGCTTATTTTTTATGTAGTTTTTCCCCCCCTCAGGAAGCAGTACACTTAGATAATAGCTACATTAACTTTAGACTAAGCATCTTTTGAGCCAAAGAAAATAATCAAGCAAAATAAGATAATTCTATATTCATAATCAGGCTAAATTATCATGAAAATGTTACACTACTAAACCTTTATACAATGGAAAACAGAGTTTCAAAATATTATGAAGCAAAAATTGATAAGGAGAAACAGATGTCGTCAAAATTGGAATGGGAGATGTCAATAAAATTCTCTCAATAATTAACAGAATAATTCAACTTAAATTTCAATAAGACTATAAAGAACGTATGTAATAATATGTACATAAACATTAACAGAACATTTTAACCGACAGTGTTAGTGTGTGAAGCTATTAAATACACTTCAAGTAATTTTCAAGAAAGACTATACGTATGACCTATTGTCCCCCTTATTTGAAAACATTCTTTCCCCTTCCTCTACACCTCTCAGTTCTTTCCCTCCTGCACTCCCATCTGGATCCACTCCTTTTCTGTCTCTCATTAGAACAGAGAAGGCTTCTAGGAGATAACAAAAAAAAATAATAAAATAAAATATAATAAGACAAAACAAAAGCCCTCACACTAATGTTGGATAAGACAAAACACAGAAGGAAAAGAGCCCCAAGAGCAGGCACAAGAATGAGACACCTACTAGTTCACTTTCACAGAGTCTCATAAAAATACTAAAAACTATAACACATATGTAAAAGACTTGGCACAGAACTGTGTAGGTCATGTGCTTGCTTCAGTTTCTGTGAGTTCATATGAGCTCTGTTCAGTTGATTTAAAGGTCCTTGTTCTCCCGGTGTCCCCCCTCTTTTCTGTCTCTTGAGCTTTTTGCCTCCTCTTCTACAGTGTTTCCTGAGGTCTGAGGAAAGGAATTTGATGAAGATTTTCCATTTATACCTGTCTGGTTCAAGGTCTCTGTGTGTGTATAGAGTGGATATCTATATTTGTCCTCATCTGCTGTAGATGAAAGCTTCTCTGATAATGTCTGAATCCTTATTGATCTGAGTATAGCAGAATGTCATTAGAAGTCATTTTATCACTAATTTTTAAAGACCAGTAGTATTTAGTCTTACCCAAGGTCTCTGAGATATCTAGTCTCTGGTTTTTGGTCACCCATAAAATGTCCGGTATGGGTTCCATATCATGGAGTGGGCTTTAAGTCCAATCAGACATTGGTTGGTTTCTCACAGTTTTTGTGTCACCATTGCTCTAGCATATTTTGCAGGCAAGACAGCATTGTAGATCAATGCTTTTCTAGCTGGGTTGGTGTTTTCTATTTGATATCTTGCAGAGTACTTTCCCATATCAAATATATTAGAACGTAGGGGTGAAAGGTTCTGTGTGGGCACCAGCTCAACTTCTCCATGCTCAGTGAGCTGTGAAGGTGTTGTCTTCAACAACAGAGCTTTGCTCTGAGTTTGTAGAGATTAACCTATTGTCTTGGCAACAGGCTAGATTGTTTGGGGACTTCTGAAGGACTCTTTCAGCCATTAACTCAATTAGATATAACCCAGTACTAAACCTGGGAGCTTCGTTTAGTGACCAGAGATGGCCAGTTGGTATTCTAACTCCCTCATTATTTGGAGACTTTACTGGAA